TCGCACAACTAATTCCCCCAGTATGCTGTATTTCTCCCACCCCGTTAAATAAGGTTCGAGCGCTCCACACTCCCGTCAACCTTTACAGCGGATGCTAGTATGGAACGATATAAAAACGGACAGATAGATCGCCGACCAGGTGAAGGCAATCAAAAGGGGGATCGTGGCGACAAGATCCCAGTAGTGACTGCTACGCTAAGGTTACAACGAGTACGGGAACTAGTGATAAAAATTCTAAATCTTGTTTCGCAAATATTTTAACTTTTTGGAAGTGTTAATCTCCCCATCGCTTGTCAGTATGACAGGAATTATGAAAGTACCTTCACAAAATGCACAGTAGGTATATTGGTAACATTAAATAAGACGAAAGCTGCAGGTCGTCCTCCGAACAAAGAAGCACACTGCCGAAATTTTTCGGAATCATGTTACAAACTTCTCGCAAATTCAAAACTTTGAGAATAGGTATTTTCTAGTCATCAGTTATAGGCAATAATTTGTTGACAGCTCATTTTATACAGGAAATGTGGATCTAGGAATCTAGGATCTAATCAAATTTTATTTATTATTTTATTATTAACGAGATCATTATAATTCTTGGGAGGGAACAAGTGCCATGGCGTAGAAGTGGCCTTAAGGTTCCTTTGTGAGTCCGCTTTTTATGGTGGTATATTAGACGATCGTCAATGATTTCACAGTTTTCAGGGCTATATTGACATCTCTGATATTCGATCACACAAGCGTTCAATAGTTAATGATGGTAGGGGGCGCTCACCGATCGTTTTTACGGAACTCACTCGTTCCCTTGTGACTTACGGGCTCTCTCGCGAACCCAACCAGCAGCCGCACAGCGGCGCATGATATAGACAGTATGTTATTACCGACAAAGACAAGAGAGACAATGTTCAATGGAAACAAATTCAATATTTATCGTTCTTTCCTAAACTGTCGGCACAGTGCATGCATCCATCACGGTGGGTAAAGCACAACACCAATGCACGTCTGTCGCGCAAAATAAAAAAAGGATTAATCATAAGGTTTCAATCACTTATACGAATCTATGAGTTTATGAAAATACGGTGAATGTAGCACTAAGTGGGGAGTAAGTAAACAGCAGACATACACGGTTGAGAATCTTTGTTGCCAAAAGAACTATACCACCCCTCAGTCACCCCCATTTCGTTTAAATATCATCGTATGAGTCGCCAGTTCGGCGTTTGCCGATCACCTACTTTGACATGCTTACTTCCTCAACACCTCGGAATAGTGGTTCTGTTTAATTTGGAAGTCCGTCCTCCGAGAACAAAGTAAAGATCATGACATTGGAGAAGTCTCCCATCCTAAATCAACAATCGATACTTCAGAATAAACAGGGAAGATTTAGAAAGACTGAAACACGCAGCACTTTTGATGAAAAAAGAGTTGTCGTTTCGATCAACGTAATGTAAACTACTGGGCCAATTAGCATGAATGGTTAAAACCTTATTCATTGTAATCGTTTATGAGGAACATTATCTTGCAGGATTGGTAAACCACGTCTCCGACGTTTTCGACAATCTCGCATATGTTTAGGTCGTTTGCGTAGAGCCTACCACTGGATACTTTCCGGAGGTGGAGCACAGGTGCGTATGGGAAGTAGATATCCATTCGGAGTGCGGCAAGGTAGCTGGATGTTGATTGTCTGCGGATTGTTTCCTCCTTTTACGCTTCAAAAGTGCATCCCACACTACCTTCCTACAGGATGTGCTGGATCCTCGACTTCAGAACACCATTTCCAAACTATGTGGCTGATGAGAGACATGTACAGGAAGGAGGCAACATGAGTGTTAATGGCAGCATAACATACCCGTGGGCTGATCTGACCCACCACACAAAGAACATCCCGCCTTGGCTTTACTCTCAATACAGAATCGGCATACTCACGCAGACATAATGTAAGCTGAATTGCCTAGAATGAGAGGTCGTGGAAAGTATAAACTTTTGTGTACTTTCGTACATGGGTTTATTTCGTCGGTGAGGTCTGGCAAAGTAGTGGTTACTAAGGGGGTTATTTAGTCGATTCTCATACCCTTCAAATTCACTCTATAATTGATCGATTAATACTGATTGGATTACAATTTTCTGCTGACCTTAAGTTCATTCAAACCTAGAGGTTTTGTTGAGCGAAAAAGCGTTTCGACACGAACCAGATAGAACAATCTAATTGCAATAGATTAGCTGAACGCGCTGGTATAGGTGATTATTCAGCCGTAAACATCCTTTTGTTTGGGAATGTTGCATTGTAAACCCATTGCAAATTCAATGCGCAATGACCGAATCTTATGTACAGCTGAAAAATGGTGACATTTAAAAGGTTTAGCCACAGAAATTCAGAGAAGGGAACTTTCTCAGCAGCGCTAGACAAGTTTCGACATTAACTGTTTGTTCATTGAAGACGAAAGGGCCTAAGGCGTGTGGCTATCTTGTTGCGTATCACACCTTAATTTCCACAGAACTAGTCAATGTATCGGAACTTCTCTTTGGTTTTTCAGTTGCCCACAGTTTGCAAGGATGCATATTTGCTTCGTGGACACGTGGAACGTTGCTTTATCTGTAAAAGCGAAAACCGACATACGTACGAGATTTTCACATTTCTGCTTTTATCACGTCAAAATCGAATTTCTTGTGGCAATTTTCCTATCATAAGTTGTGAACTGGGCATTCAGCAGGTTTGTACACAAAGTTTGTTCTTCAGAATTTTATGCCCTGTTGTTGTTAGAACAATGTGCGCCGAAGTGATTTTTGGGTTCCCCTTAAAAGCTGCTGCGACTTCAACTACTGCTTCTTCATAGGCCTCTGGCCTCCTAGATCGTTTTTTGGTCAGTGGTCGATTCAATTTTTTGAAAATTGCTTATCCACTGAATTGGTGGGCTTCTGTGAGTAGCACTCGTATTATAGTGATCAATAAAGTGTCTTCACATGGCTTTTGATTATTTGAACTGGACAAGCCGAAGTATACTATCGATTTCTCTTCAAATGCTGTCATTTAGGGAGTCTGCGGATAAACAAGTGAATAGGGAGGAAATAAATCAGAAAGAAAGGTATAAAGCATTACAGAGGCGACGTTAAAAGATAACAGTCTTATGGGACTGAATGTTCATAAAATTTTCGCTAAAGAACATATCATTTGGACAAAGCAAGTTATAAATTCTGGAAGTGATGCAATGTATTGTGAAAACTCTGCAATATCAGCAAACGGAAGGGAATATTGGTCAGAAATGTCTACCCCACACGTTGCCCTCAATTAGCCGCCCCTCCCGTCGGGATATGATGAAACGTTCGTATTTGGTCGTGCATTCAGGCCACATCTATGGACGTCATTCACGTACATCGATGACAGGCCTCCCATTTATGGCGATACACCTTTAGAGCCACGGCTATAGGTGTCTCCCAACCTCGCGTAAGCTGGTGTTATTCAACATACCAAATAAATTCGACCGAAATGTTCAAACGGCAGGCTCTGATTGGTCCTTATCTGCACTAGATTGGTATGGAAAGGGCACGCGTTGACTGGGCAACTCATTGAAACAGCTCACAAATACAGAGTCTGAAAGGGGTCGCCTCCTGATTGACCGTCTGTTCCACACCGTCGAGCTTGAAGTTTTAGCCACTTTTGTATCCATGTATGACGACTTGTAGGAGCACAGTCTCCCCTCCCCCCAGCGTTACTTAATTTTTTTACCTTCGGAAAATGGTCGTTTAAGTATTGTGCTGTAGTGAAATGACAGCCGCTAAACCGGCGTTACTTATGTAGCGTCAAATTGGAGCGAGTGTGTACTCGGAGCGCTACAATCATCAGACCAAATTCCGTGCTTGCGTAAAAGAAAGAAGTTACCAGATTGAGGCGTTTACTGCATACAGACCCCTGAGTTGTCCTCTCAGGCGACAGTGGGCGCTGGTGAAGCCAGGGCTGGTGTTGACTGCGTCCATGCATGCCTGAGAGTCCTTGAGATAGTGGTAAAAACGGCTTTTGTAGGTTTGTGGGGTAACCTGAAGTGATGTCGAATTGGGGTTTGTGAAAGTGTTCAGTTGAGGGTCCACGTGATGGTCGTAGTAGGTCGCTCACTTGCTAGCAGGCGTTGACTACGCCTAGCGTTTATTAACTGGCGCCTAACTGTCACATGTGGCTCCTCAAAACTAGACTCTGCCTAGCGGCCACGCGCTGATAGCCGCCTTGACCGCCGGACTAAACCAGGTGGAGGTATCCGTGTACGTATTTCCACACACAGTAACTCTGCTCCCCTCCCACCGCCGCTGCCTCGTCATCTCCATAACAAGATCCCGCCTGCAACCCCACCAGAAGCCTATAGCTAAGTGACCCCCGGGTAGGCTAAATGTCGTTCTGCTGAAAACCGTTCTGTTGAAGTTGTCAGCTCACCGTCTACATTTCAGCAATCAGCTAGCTCAGGGAGGGAAGGGGGACTCTGCTTCCCGTCTCTCCGTCCTTCCCCTATCCTCCTTGCCTCCCACTCACTTCAAACAGTTCTACAAAGAGAGCGATATGCAATGCCATAGAGGACCCAGATCAATCGGGTCGTTCTCTCATTAAACCCCGTGGCCCATAGTGGAGAGCGGTATCCCTCCGGTGTGACAAAGCAGTCCTATTCAGGGACAGTACTGCTTACCCCCGCAAGAGGGAAGGGACTGCAAAAGCTGCTCGAAACACATGCTGGGTTCACGACATCTGCGCGCAGACTGTGGTCTCAGACGCAAAACTCAGAGTGGAAACAACCGAACCACCAACAACACTCTTTCTCTCCTCCTTCCCGCCGCCACACTCGCCAGACTGGTAGAGTGCGTTGCTCACTTTGGCAGTCTGGAATGTCCGTTCCCTTCTAGACAATCCGAGGAGAAACCGACTGCAACGGTGGACGATGTTAATGGCTCCGGAACTGGCGCGCTACAATTTGGACATTGCCGCACTCAGCGAGACCCGCTTCTCCGAAGAAGGCTAAGTGGAGGAGATGGGTGACGGCTACGCCTTCCTCTGGAGCGGTCGCCACAAGGCAGAGCGACGGGACGCGGGCGTTGCCTTTGCCATCCAAAACGACATCATTGAACGACTGCCCTGTCTGCCGCAGGGCATCAACGATCGCCTGATGAGCCTCCATCTGCCTCTCCAGGGAGGCCAATTTGCCACCATCATTAGCGTCTACGCCCCGCCTATGACCAGCCTTGACGCTGAAAGGAACAAATTCTACGAGGACCTGCACGTCCTCCTGACGTCTGTGCCGAAGGCGGATAAGTTGATTGTGCTTTGGCGACTTCAACGCCCGCGTCGGCACAGATCATTCCGCCTGGAGAGGAGTGCTGGCTCCCCATGGTCTCAACAGCTCCATTGACAATGGCCTGCTCCTTCTGCGAACACCTGGAGAACACCGTCTCACCCTGACCAACACCTTCGCCATCTGATGACCTAGGAGGGCGCGACTTCGATGCGCCCTCGGTCACGACACTGGGACCTGCTGGACTATGTCCTCCTCTGGAGGCGAGACCAGAGGGACGTGTTGATGGCAAAGGCGATCCCGGGTGCCGACGGATGAAATGACCATCTCCAAGATGAGTATCCTCTCGCAGCCACGCATGAGACCTCAATGTAAGTGACCGCCAGGTAAATTGAATACTGTTCTTTTTAATGTTTCTGCTCGTCATCTCCATTTCAGAAACGAGCTAGCTCAGAAACTAGCCAACCTCCAAGTCGCTAAGGATGAGCACGGCTCCGTGGAGAACCGATGGTGGCAACTGAAGAGCAAAGTCCAGTCAACCGTCCTGGTTGTCCTCGGTTGCGCACGTCGTCAACATAAGGACTGGTTCGACGACAATGACGCCTCTATCAGCAACCGGCTGGCCGAGGAGAACCGACCGCACATGGCCGCCCTGTCGACGACAACAAAGTAGCTTTCTAACGTAGTCGCCGCCTTGTGCAAAAGCGACTACGGGAAATGTAGGACCCCTTGACGGCTCGAAAGATCGAGGAGATCTAAAAGTACACGGACTGCAAGGAATAGAAGGACTTCTTCGCCACGATCCAGACTGTCTACGGCCCCATAACCAAAGGAACTGCCCTTCTTCTCAGCGCCGACGTAACCACTCTACTCACCGAGAAGACGCATTTTCTGGAGCGCTGGGACAAGCATTTCAACGGTGTCTTCAAACGTCTCTCTACCATCTCCGACGCCGACATCGACTGACTGCCTTAGGTTGAGACCAACGTCGATCGCAACGTCCCACCCTCTCTCCACGAAACTATTAGGGCCGTACAGCAGCTCTCCAATTGGAAAGCGTCCGGATCGGATGCGATCCCTGCTGGGGTCTACAAGTACGGTGGCTTCAACCCAAAAATCCCCTCACAGCGCTCTACCAGGAGATGTGGCGCCAAGGACAAGTCCCAAAGGATTTCAAGGACGCCAAAAGCGCCCATCTCTACAAGAAAAAGGGAGCCACCAATTCTATGACAACCACAGAGGAATCTCGCTGCTCAACATCGTCAGAAGAATTTTCGCTCTCGTTCTCCCCAACCGTCTCAACAATCATCTGGAACAAGGGCTCCTGTCGGAAAGCTAATGTAGCTTCCGCCATATTCGCGGAACCACCGACACGATCTTCGTGCCCGCCAACTGCAGGAGAAGTGCCAGGAAATGCGGATCCATCTCTACTCTACCTTCCTGGGTCTGATGAAAGTCTATGATACGCTAAATCGCGAAAGGCTGGGAAAAACCATGCAGAAATTCAGCTGTCCCGAGCGATCCGCTCAGGTGGTGTGTTAGCTCTATGATTAAATGATAGCGTGCGCTACCGACAGCGGAGCCGTCTCAAAAGCACTCACAGCGACCAACGGAGCGAAGCAGGACTGCATCCTCGCCCTTACCTTCTTCTGTTTCATGTTCTCTGCCATGCTGATGGACGCCTACCGTGACGAGCGCCCCGGGATTCGTATCGCTTACGGGACGGACGGCCAACTCCTCATATACCGGCGGATGCACTTCCAGTCGCGTGTATCCACAACGAGTGCCCGTGAACTTCTCTTCCCCGACGACTGTGCTCTCAACACCGCCTCGGAAGGGGACATGAAAATGGGCGTGGATCTTTTTTCTGCCGCCTGTGACAACCTTGGTTTTATCAACACGGAGAAGACAGTGCATGCACCAACCGCCACCCGACGATGCCTACACTGCACCTCAGAAGAAGATGCGATCGCTGCAACAGGTGAATGTTATATATAATGGTAGAGGGGCGCTCACCGATCGTTCTTACGGAACTCACTCGTTCCTTTGTGCCTTACGGGCTCTCTCTGGAGCCCAACCAGCAGCCGCACAGCCACGCATGAGATAGGCAGAATGGCATTACCGACAGAGAGAAGGGAAACTGGAATGGTCATTTCCGGCTTATTAGCCGTCGTCAGCCAGTCATACCCAACCCCGAAGTATGGAACACCCGAGGTTCGAACTCGCGAACTGTTAGTTAGAAGTCCACGCCTCTTAACCCTGGGCCTCGAGTCTCGGGTGTTCCACGCTTCGGGGTTGGGTTTAACTGGCTGACGACGGCTAATAAGCAACAAATAGCCATTCCAGTCTCCCTTGTCTTTGTCGGTAATGCCATACTGCCTATATCATGCGTCGCTGTTCGCCTGCTGGTTAGGCTCGAGGGGGAGCCCGTAAGGCACAACGGAACGAATGAGCTCCGTAAGAACGATCGGTGAGCACCCCTCTACCATTATATATACAACATTCACCCCATGTCCTGATCAACAGTCTGAATTAGCGATAATACGGATTGTTTTATCATTTCGCCCCTAATCACCTCGTTGAGGGAATTTACTGTTCTTTTCCTCACAGAATTTTTTCCTGCTCGATATGCATACACACGTTTTGTTCTACTCCCAGCATTTTAGACGCCAAGGAAACTTTTCGATTTCTAACTCGAAGTGCAAAACACCCCTTACGGTTCGAGACTGTGGGTAAAAATTCTGCTGGTGACTTCCGCACGATGTCCATGATGCAATTCCTTTTTCACCCTAAACTTCCCTGCACGACGTTGTAGCCCTGATTTAGTTGCCCACGCACCAAATGCCGCAGCAGAAACTATGTTATGCATGCTTTTGTCTGTAAAAATAGGAAAGCTTGGTTGTTGGACGAAGAGGGAGTTATGCCTTAGTAAACAATTTGGCAGAATTCTGCTACCAAGTTATTTAAATATGCACGCGATGCCAGTGACCTCGCCATTGGCACATATTATCCACCTATTTATAAGAAACCGAAATACTTTCAAAATTTCCCGACCTACACGTTCTGGGAAGACAGATCTTTCAGTATATAATCGATAGATACGTTTATATAAATTAAGAAAAATAAAAAGTTTTTTAGTCTATAAGTCATGTCTACTTCCACAGAGTATTTCCTATTCAATAATTTCTTACTTCAAGCATCTTTAAAAAACCGGAAACGTTTCTGTGGGAGATTTCAGATGAACGAATTATGGCAAGGGACACCTGCGACTAATGGTGACTAGACTACCAATGTGAATACTACCAAAGCATGGGCGAATTTTCAGTGGATGAATGCATAACAGTGAAACGGGATCGTAAGGCATGCTAAATTGGAGAACCCATCGAAAATCATGGTTCTTAACTCACTGATGAGGAGAGCCATTATGCGACAAATGATTTCTGGAAAAAGGTGCATGCCTTTTATTGGAGGCAAATGGAATTTGAGTAGTGCCTTATTTCTTGTGAACTGCGCGGTCATAATAGCGGACACTGATATCCTGAATGAGTCAGTTTGCTTTGATGATCTGTGAGTGACTAACTCCCCGCCAACCTTAACCTATGCTGGCAGTTGAATGTTTTATTAAATGGCAGTCCGGCATTGCCCTTACTGCTGAGTCGTTCGACTGTAGAGGCGCGTTTTACGCGTTATTTTGCGCCTTCTTTCCTAGGCCCCTCAGTATTACGGTCTGCGAAGAATCCTGCTTTCGTTATTTCGTTTTGTCTGGGCATGCAAATCGGCCATTCCTTGATTTCGGTATAAGCCCATCTTGAAATGCATCCCCAAAACCTTGAGACTTTCTGCAGACACTTCCGTCTTATGAAGTGTTAGAGATGAGAGATACAAGTTTAATCAAAAACTGCCAAATATCTGCTTTCCATTCGTGTATTAGAACGCTAGGATATCATCAGAGGTCATGGAAACGGTCGCCTATATGATCGAGTTGCAATTACAGCCACAGTCAAATAAAAAAAGTTGACTGAACAACTAATAGAGAAAGAAAATTTTTAAAACCAAACTTATCTCTTTATGAGACAAACTGAAGCATTTCCGGCAAGCTTCTACAGCATATATTGCGAAGATTTAAAACACACGCCGAACAATCCTGAAGGGAACTGGACGCACCTCAAATGTCAAGGAACAACGGAACTGAAGGACATTTAGCATTTCTCATGATGTAGTAGTAATTTACATTGAAATGACGACTTGCGATGAAGTTTGCTGGTGTGTCTGAATTCCCCTTAATATCTGGGTTTGCCAGGGAAGGCGTCGGCAGGAAGAACGTCACATGTAAATGAAAAAAGAAGTTGATGGTCAGTTATCTTGACAAATATGTGGTTTACAATCCAGTATGCATGACTGCTAAGACGATTTGGCATTCATCAAAAGATCCTACTCACAATTAGATCAGTGGACGAAAGCTAGGATCAGTGCGTTTCTTAAAGTCCCTAAGAACTTCCTCGGGACACTTTTTGTAATGAAAACTGCTTTGGGTTACCGAGACCGTACTACCACAACTCTAGTCATCATCGACCTATTTCCAATAGACTGCTCTAAGTTGCAGGAAGCCTGACGTGAGTTAAATTTAAAGACTGGAAGCAGGCATAGTGTCCGTACATTCGTCTGTTTTGTTCTGATCTAGAGGCACCGACGGTTTGAGGATGGACAGTTACCTATCGGTTGATTGCTCATTATGCATTCGTTGGAAAGTCAGCAGAAAATATTTTGAAAGGCATATTATGCGTTGATAAACTTAGGAAAAAGAGGACGGTAGATGACAGCTAATAAATCAGAAATGGCCATTCCAATTTCCATTCCTTTGTCGGTAATTTCACTCTGCATATATACACACATACATATCTCGTTCATCATCTCCCGAAGAAGACAGGGCGAATTCATGGACCAAATTGTATTTGAACTGACGTCTCGGCAACTTCCTCGTTTCCATCACCAGAATAGTGCCCTTTTTGCTTCTGTCCGTCTCGAGCTGTTCAGCCTTGCTGCTTGCTTAGTATTACAGCCGTGCTCGATGCATGAACTTTGACCCTCTTATTTGTCGCTGACTGGCTTAGATCTCTCGAGGCTGACCGCTATCGGGCTTGCGTGACCTTTGTTCCCTTTGGGGCCGACGTAGTTGTAGTCGGATCGGCGTGCCTATTGGCCTCTCCCAGGTCAGTCGGTGGACTGGTCGGTTGTTGCTGTTCGTGTTAGTAGCATTCAGCTTCGCGGGCACATCGATGAGACAGTGTTTGACTCTGCTCACATGGCCTCTGGTCATCAATTCCACTCTTCTCCGTGAGCATTGACTCTCGATTCCGTTTGTTCGCTTGCCTTATTGATCTATCCAAACTGGCCTGAGTCTTGTACGCAGCGCCTGGTAGGCGGGACGTAGATCTATTGCTAGCGCATCCGTGTGACCTCTGTCCCCTGCCCGGCCGTTGTTGTCGCTGCTAGGTCCGTGTGCCCGGGGACCCTCCACTCGTAACCTGGTGGACTAATTAGCTGCGGTTGCATGTGCGAATCAGGTTCGGCTGTTTGGGCCCGTCGGTGGGTCGATGACTCACGTCGGTCGTGTGACTCCGGCTGGCTCTTTCCCCCTGCTTTGAAGGTTACAACTGTTCAGAGGGCTGTGATTTGTTCGCCAGTGCTGTCGGCTCCGTCTGAGCTGACTGGAGCCTCGTACGTAACGCCTGGTGGTCCAGATGATCAATGATCAATGATCAATGATGATCCAGAAGATCAATGGTTCCGTTGATTGTGCAAACTGCGGACCAACTTTTGAGAACCAGTCTGGCCATCTTGCCGTTGACTATGCCGATGATGCTTGCTTCCTCAAAGGTGGAACTGTGCTTCTCCTGTTGTATATGGCCATATACCAGCAACCGTTTATTCTCACGGTTGACTGTGTGCTGATGCTCGTGCCATCTTGTGCAGAGGCGTTTGCATGTCTCACCAACATACCTCGCGCTGCAATTTTCGCAGGACATGCTGTAGACCACTGCTGATTGTTCCGTTGTCGGTAGCTGGTCTCTAGGTCTCATTATCTGCTGCCTGCTAGTGGATTCCGGTTTATGGACCACCCCAATCCCAAAAGGGCCCAGGATACCTGCTGTCACCTCAGAAACATTCCTCACGTAGGGGATCGCAAGCCAGAATTTCGGCTTCCCACCGTTATATGGTTCACAGGTAAGCCCTCTTCAACACTCACATATGGAGGATCGTGGGTAACCATTATCTGTGAAAAGGGAATGTAGTTATTGCGCTCCTTTCTTTCTCGCGTCATCGTCACTACAGTGTGTTTGAACTCGTTGGAAAAGAGTTCTGACACAACTGCGCTTGGGATCAATGAGGTGGTTACTTCGGAATCATATATATATATAATGGTGGAGGGACGTACACCGTTCTTATGGAACTCACTCGTTCCGTTGTGCCTTACGGGCTCTCTGTCGAGCCCAACCAGCAGCCGTACAGTAGCGCATGATATAGGCAGAACGTTATTACCGACAAAGCAATGGGAGTCTAGAATGGCCTTGGGGTTGAGTATGATTGGCTGGCGACGGCTAATAAGCCGGAAATGGCCATTCCAGTTTCCCTTGTCTTTGTCAATAACAACGTTCTTCCTATATATATATATCCGACGAAGGGGACCAGAAACACTGCACTGTGCATAGACGCCCCTTCCTATTCAGTATTACAGAAATAGTTTTGCCCATGTCCTTCTCAGCTGCCTGAAGACGCGTCTGGTTCGAAAGCTTCTGCCAGAAGCACAGTACCGGTTTTTCAAATATCGTAGAACCACGGACATGAACCCCAAACCAATCAACCTCAAGAAAAGTGATAGGAAACTAGAATAAGTCTGTAAACGACCCTCGTAGATCTGACGAGGACATTCGATACAGTCAACAACAATGAACTCTGGAGAATGATGTCGAGATTGGGACGTCTAGAGTGATGGCGTGCGTAACGGAAAACAAGCTCTCCTCGGAAACATTCGCGGTGACAAATGAAGTGAGGCAGGGCTGCAAACTTGCTCACACCCTATGCAGTCTCATGCTCTCTGTCATGCTGCTAGACGCTTACCGTGTGGAGCAACCGGGAATCAACACCAATTACTCAACCGACGGAAAACTCAACATCTGTTCGTGTGCTGACATCTTTGCGAGCATCCAAAGTCAGACTCCGCAACCTACTGTTGGCGGATGCTTGCGAGCTAAATATTACAACCGAAGACGACATGCCAAGAAGCGTGGACACCCTTCTGTTCTCCCTTCAAATTCATACTGACCACTGGAGTGGTGAAGACCGTCGCCATCTGTCAACCGACGTCGTCTTATGAATTTCACGAAAGTAGGATCAATATCGGAGGAATTCACCTCGCGTCTGCGGATACATTTCCGTATTTGAAGAGTGCAGTGGCAAGTAACACTAAGATCGGCGATGAAATTGCATGTTGCATCTCCAAAACCAGTCACACCTTCAGCCGGCTAGGGTACTCCAACTGGGACCGTGGCAGCCCCTACCTGAACACGAAAGTCATGATGAGTGAAGCTGTTACTTCGACAACGCGTTTGCATGTGGCGGAGACATGGACAATCTACATAAGCCAGACAAGGAATTCAACCATCTTCACCTCTGTCGCCTCTGAAGAATACTAACGCGGAAGTGACAGGAAAGGGTCTAGGGTACCGAAATTCTGGCAAGGACTGGCTTACTCAGTATCCACGCCATACTGAGGCACATACAACTGCTCTGGAGCGACCACTTCATGAGTATAGATGACCGGCACTTGCTCAAACGACTCCTTTACGGCGGAGTGGCTGCGGGTGCTTTAAGACAAGAAAGACAAAAATTCAGCTACAAAGATATCCCGAAGACCTATACCAAGCATTTGCAAATCCACCAGGATGTCTAGGAGGACGTTGCTCAAGATCGGCAGGTCTGGCGCTCTGCTGCATAGACTGGGACAGCCATTCTGCAAGCCTACTGAATAACCACTTTCGAGGCTAAAAAGGAAGCTCGCAAAACTCAAGTGCTTCAAACTAACTATGCCAACACCGAATTTCACATTGCGCACATTGCCAACGGACCTTCGGAGCCCCCATTGGCTTTGTTGAATTCCCTCGGATCCAGATCAGTGTCGACGAGGACAATCTACATCAGTAACCTGGATACTTCTTCTTCTTCTTCTTCTCCCCCACCACCACCACCACCACCACCACCACCACCACCACCACCACCACCACCACCACCATCGACGTCAGCCCAGAGACTACGAGGAATAAAGGCGACATAGGGGCGTGGGTACCTTCAGAGCGATCGGGGAAAGTATGCTGTGTGGTATTCGGAGAGGGACAGGGACGCAAATAGTTAGTTTAGGAAATCAAGAAGCTGGAGGTTTTCGCAGTGTACTCTGGCATATTTCTCACTAAAACTCTAAAAGACACGACCCCTCCCAGGGTGAAGTCATCTCATGGGCCTAAACTGCAGCTTACTAAAATATGTGGCGTATGCAGCAAAACAGCTGTAAATGCTGCCCTGCTATTTTTCTATGAACGACTATTTGTATTTTTGCTTTACCTCTGCGGTACGTTGACTACTTTTTCGGATGATTTTGTTGACGCTCTCTTCGAAAACTAGATTTCACCCTTTCTCCACCATCTAAAATCACAACTCAGGTGCGCACACAAGGCGCATTGGGACTGCAATATTACTACGTCACGGCGGCCTTGCCAGAAAAATATCAGCTACTGAATGCTCCTTTCCAGTGGAACCAGCTGTCAAAATTGCAAATTTGAGAGCCCCCTTAGTAAATTATCCCTAAATACCATCGTTAGGAAAGGGCTAATTGTCCCAAATGGCAGATGGCAACAGCTGACGGGGAGCAAAAATAATTGCAGCCCCTTGCCATGCCAGCCCCTGAAAAGGTGACAAAAATAACTGTTTCGTAAGCAGTCAAATAGCACTGGAGATTTTGGCCAAGAAATGACCGTCAAATTTCGCTTAAATTCTTAGATTGTGAATTCCTGCCTTAGAGACGTATCAGCGACAGCGTAAAAAAGAAATTTTTACAAAGTTGCTAATGAAATTTATCTTTTGTGTTGGTGCATGGTTCTTTTGCATTTATATGATAAAAGTACGGTTTATTTCAATTTTGCACATCGGGAGCGCTTCACGAGCAAATTGCAGGAAGTAACATGTTCGTTCCGGTTGGGCTTAAAGACCTTTGTAGGCGGGCTCGAGCCATTGTCAGTGCAGATCTGAGTTAATTGTGTAATTAGCTGATGACCGCAAATAAGCCGGAAATACCTATTCCGGTGTCCTTACATTTTTTCGATATTTTTCTACATGACCGGTACTTTTTATGTCGGTTGTGGGACTGCCAAACGGTGGGGTGAATCAACCAAGTCGACTCAGCTGAGGCGGATCATTGGCTTTAATAAAGGCGTTGGGGCTGGAAGAATGTATAGTAGATGAAAAGTACCTACTAGTATTTGTACCCATCCTGCTGACAGCAGAATGCTCGTCTTTTCACTATACTCCATGGGACGGGGACATTTCAAAGTAATCGAGATAAAATCGGACTTCTAAGTAACATGAGATTCATTAAAATTTCTCACTGATGGCTTCCGTTCCCTGGTCAGCAAACCGATTCCGGCCAGTGAAAGTTACGTCAGAGGACGTGCGCGCATGAATATGGGCACTAGTGCACAAATTTCAGACAAACTAGGTACAGGCTCGACTTTGCATGGTCGCATTCCTTTTCATCGTCTACTTGCTTTTTATGGCGCATGTATCAGCTGTCTTTTTTCATAGCTCAAAAACTCACTTAAGGCCCTAGATTTATCCACAAGGATTAGCTCTGCATTCAACCAGTTTTCCTGGTTCAGGAATTCAGGAAAAAACCCAGTTTTGTATTCTTCTATCGGCCTGCTTAAAAAATACATGCGATCGAAGAACTTGTGAGAATATTTAAAAGAAATCACGTTTTAACTACATTTCGCGAAAACCCTTCGTCTCAATGCCGGTTGTTGCAACGGTAAGTTCAAAAAATAACGGACGGAATTTTCCGATACTGATTTTAATTCTATAGGTTGCTGATACCTATGTACAGTAGATGTGCTAACTCAGGAGATGTCAACCAAAATTTCAAAATGCGTTCTCGTTTCGAAAAGATAAATTAAGTAGTGTTGTAAAATTAATCATGATGCAGCATAAATCTATAATGATCCAGTTACCTCAGGGTGTCGGCTTTCGAAAGAACTTATTTTCGGCTGCATGCACGATCTATACTCTGCAAAAATGACTACTTATGTAGTATGCAATTTTCTCATTGATTTTCGATGCCCTTGTAAATTCAATTATATTTCATGGAAAACATGCATAATAATATTCATTCTTTTACTTATTCGGTAGAAAATCACGTCGTCTTCCAATTTCATACTCAAAAGTATAATTCAAAGTATAATTAGGTTTCAAAAAACTTTTATAATTTCCGAATAATTTTGAACCCGACCTGCTGTTACACATGCATTCAGGGTTTCAAAACTTCAAGCCGTATATTTTCCGTGTACGGAAAACCATGCATTTCTCTACGCTCTTAAGAGGAGACCCTATGAAGTTCATAAAAGTAATAGTGGATTTGAGCAATATCGTTAACTTTACAAGCTACATTCGTAAATGCAGATACATGACGTTTAATGAACGGCCATTCAACGGTATTAAAAAATCTCACAATTAGAAACTTTTTAAACACCGAATTATACTCTTCTTTTATGTATGAACTTGGAAGAAGATGTGATTTTCTACCGAATAAGTAAAAGAATGAATATTTTTATGCATGTTTTCCATGAAATATAATTGAATTTACAAGGGCATCGAAAATCAATGAGAAAATTGCATACTACATAAGTAGTCATTTTTGCAGAGTATAGATCGTGCATGCAGCCGAAAATAAGTTCTTTCGAAAGCCGACACCCTGAGGTAACTGGATCATTATAGATTTATGCTGCATCATGATTAATTTTACAACACTACTTAATTTATCTTTTCGAAACGAGAACACATTTTGAAATTTTGGTTGACATTTCCTGAGTTAGCACATCTACTGTAACCGGATTGGAGAAAGCAGTAATTTATTTTTGTTATGTCAGTCTGGGGGTGGGGTCCTAACATGCGGCCTGATAACAATAGAAAAATTGTAGTCGAAAACCTGTACTAATTAGCACACGAGAACTGAAGCAGGCGTTTTCGGCTGATTCTCCACATCGAATCGGTCATATGTTAAAACAAGGGCGGACAACAAACTGTAAGTCGTCAAAATAGTTAGATTGTACTTTTAATCGCCCCTCTTCCACTAGTCGAGTTATGATGTTTTAGTTTCCTCCTCAAGTACAAAGTGGTTGGGAGGATTTTGAAAGAGACTGACCAACGTAGCGAACCGATGAATGAGATTAAATTCTTGCATTATAGGCCAGTTCCACGGGCAACGGTGTAGCTGTTCACTAACTTAAGACCTTTCCTTTCTCAAAGGATCATTTATTCATACTTGTTACGCGACTGCGCTATAAAAATAACAACTATTGTGCAAGCCGACGTCAGTCATGTGTTTGGCAAGTCGACAGGCATTGCAGTGGCTGAAGGCAAGAATGTATAGGACCCAATGAGCCACAAGTTAATCAGACAGAGAAGTGTAGGCGCGTGCTCATCTGTTACATTTACTGAAGCATGCTAACTGTAGACTTATAACCTTTAAGTTACTCTGGTAGAAAGTAAACGATACTGATAACAGTCGTGGAATGCTTTCAAGTAAAAGAGCTAGTTTAAGTTTAACGCCGACTTCGCTGCCAAAAAACTGTGCAGTCAACGCGCAATTTGTAAATTTGAACAAGAAGATCATTGATGACGGCAATATTTTGCACGTACTTCGTCAATTTTGATTAAACACTTATCCTCTCTTATAAAGGCGTCCAATTCAACCGAATAGGGAAATTTTCCATTTAATGTATTTTTTTATCGCATGTTTTTCAGCCAACCTGAGAATCCATTTACAATTCCCAGCAGCACTTTTAAAAGATGAAAGAGGAAATAGTTTTCGTTTTCAAAGAAGATGCTCTGCACAACACACAATTTCAGGTACTCATTTTAAATCCTTTTTGAAATATATTCTTCGTAAAACAATTATTGAGTTCTAAACGTACTTCAACATCTATAAAGAAAACGAACCGACAAGACAATAGGCCTCTGGCTCGGCGATAGGGCGTCAGGCTTTAAAGTGTTCAGTGACCAATGAGGCCAAGTCTGGATCACAGTTCCTGCAGACCAGGGATTGGGTACGGCTGGCTGACGACGTCGAACAAACCGGAAATGGGCATCACAGGTTCCCCTTGTCCTTGTCCGTATTCCTTCACGCCAGAACGGTATATTGTCGTCGTCATGTGAATGGGATGGGAACTGCGGGTGAGGTGTGGTTCACATCTAAAGCAGAGCTTTCCTAGACAAGTACCATGGATTAGGCGTCCTCTAACATTCGTCTGCATCGTCTGTTTCGCATCTGCTGACTAGCTCCTTCCTTGTAAACGAAAATTAAATCTAAAAGCACTTGAGTGGAAGGTGAGATTGTAGTCCCGAGGAAATAAATCCGAAACATTTAAAATCCAGGTACCCAGCATGGAAAAACTTGTGCTTTCATCCACTTAGCGCCATCATACTTCAAAAAATTATCTAGCTTCCGTTTGTAACAGACACTACCGTGTGCTCACCCAAGACATCTGATTTTCCAAGGCCAAAAAACAACGGAAGAAAAGGCGCGGTAAAAAGACGGTAATATCTCAAATCTGACAAAATACTATGCGACTGCACACAGGTAAGCCGGAAACGGGAATATAGTATGACTGAAAAAAACTCGGAAGGACAAACAATCAAACGGAGGCCAAAAGTAGTGCAACTTGAATTAGGCTAGATCACAGTTGGTAGTCAGGAATGGGGAAGCGGACGGCGACCTTAACCATAATCCTACGCTTAACCCTAACCGTAACCTTAACGTTAACCGTTAACCCTAACGGCAACCTTAACCTTAACCCTAAGCGAAATCGTAAGCGTAACCGTAGCCCTTAGACATAGGCTTAACTGTAAAACCTAACCGTAATACTGACACCTAATCTTAAACTCAAACCCTAACCGTAACACGAAAACCTAAGCCTAAAGGGCATAATCCTTACCCGAAAATCGGACACTATTAACAGATACCCTAATCCTAACCTCAAAAGTGAACCAGAAACCAAACGGGTCAGATGTGATTATGTAGCCCCACAGAAAAGCCCCAGTAAACAAACCCCCAGCCACCTGTAATACGCGGCCTGGCTAACAACTGCAATCTAGCCTTGAATTATTTTATTTTCTAAGACGTGCGGTAGAAAGCAATGCAAAATATCAGTAACAAAAGCTCGCTGACAAGTGGAATCATTTAAATGAGCCGGGAAAACCTAGGCTTTTTTCAAGTACACTCCACCCTGTCTGTCACGGACCAATGTATGCGTGCTTATCATACCAAGGACGAAGATCACTTAGCCAATTTCGGAAATTACATTTGCCCTTTCATCCGCGCTGGCAATATGGTTTCAGAAACCGATTTTTAATTTTGGCAAGGCAGTTTCAGTGAACGCTATTGGAGATGAGAATGTCAACCAGCAAATGTTTTTAAGCGAGGCTGGAGGCATGCATAAACAACTTGATGTGGCATGAAACTCAAGATATTGGGAGAGTATGTTAATACAGTTTATAACGTCTGATAAGTCATGATCGGCCATTCCGGTGCCCCTAGTCTTCTTTTACAGCATCCTCGGTTACGAACCATTCCTGCATAATCCGGTCAAGATTATCTTAGCACGTAAGCTTAACGACAGAGAACTTTCGGAGGATTAGCCGGACCCTTCACCTGCTGACAAATACGGTTTCGATAACGTCGGCTCATTTAACTAATTCTTATTCCTTCTCGAAGGACATGCCTTTCTGTAGAATGTCCGTTCATAAAGCATGATACTTCGTTTTTTTCAGAGATTTTACTGACAGTTTATGCAAAAGGGGTTTTCATGTATTATTGCAGAAAGATGTAATGCTATCTTCCCCAACGACTTTATTACTTCTTCTGAACGTGGAAGACACGAGTTCCAGCCGGCGTTTCGAAGGATAAAGTAGATTTGGATGGATCAGAGGGAGTTAGGCCTGGTCCCCTATGGAATCTACATTGGTTTGACAACGTTCACTGCGTTCTGAGACCCGAATGCAGCTGTTTAAACTGTGTTGAGGACTTAATTATCTGGTGCGGATGTGAGCTTGACATGTCTTTACGGCAGCACAAAAAACGAATAAATGTTTTCCACAAACGTCCATTCAAACCAGAGATCATCACTCACGTCCCAACGAAGCTCTTCTGGAGAAGGTAGAGGTCTCGCATATTGGAACTCAAAATTTCGTTAAACAGACGTGTCGGGGAGCTTCTTTGACCTAACTGCAACGCGACTTCCTAGGCCTGACTCTTGCAAGAAGTATTGAATGCTTTTGCGGGGGTAATGGGAATCACTTGTCTGGAAACTAAGAAAAGCAAAAAAGTAAGCGAAATCTACATTCTTCCACATTCTGGGGCCACAAATCGGAACGTCACGTAATTTCGACTTTTTAATTAAGTGCCTTTTGCTTTCGCAAAGTCGGAATGATTGACGTTCTCAACTAAGAAAGTGTGACTCCGTTAAATGTCGGATAGGTGAGGGATTTAGATAGGAGATTCGAAACACCCCAACTTCAATTTCCGTCCCACTGAAATTGGTTTTGCCGAAAAGGCATGAGTTTGCTACCCGAAGAGATCGCCTCCTTATTTAAATTAATAGTCCCCATTGGAAGACTTTGGTCGTCCAACGCCACTTGCAGAAATGGGCAGAGCTCACGTTATTTAATTTTAATTTCAGCCTCCGACAGAGCCAACAGTTTTAGTAATCAGTGGCTCCGATGCGAAGGCAGCCCGTCAAACCGACTAAGTGAAATGATAGATCATCCTCTACTTTCCCCTGACAGGCCTACAGGGAACAGTTTCTCCCCCCCCCTTCCCCCCACCACCCACCCGCCTGTTGCCCTACGCACTGCTGCTGAAAACTACCCGTGTATAGTATGTGCAAGAATACTCAACTATTTCATTCGAGCTTCTGCCAGTTTTTTTTAATTCGGTATGCAGCCCGTGCACAGTTACCGCCCTGCGTACCCGCTTTGTTGCGGTCAGCTGATTTAGGTAAGATTTGCTGTTAAAATGACTTATTCAGTCCGGGACAGTAGATGAATGCTCGGTGCATGAAGCAATCGAGATAATTGGAAGAGATGATGGGCGCAGGAGAGTTGGGTGATATTTTGGTTAATTAGGTTGTGAATGTAAATATACTCGAATAGACCTATATGATTGATGAATGTAGGGGTACAGTATTCGCAGTAAAGGTGGCTGTGATGAATGTTTGACGGGACTTATGACACTTGCTCTGCAACCATGTCACAACTGACCCCCAGGGGTCCAACCAGGAGTATGCAGGAGTGGTATGTACGATCACATAGGGAACAAGCTGGCATTAAGCCTACATTTGTGGCGTTCGGAATTCTTTCGCATCACCTGCCTCTGTCCATCGAAAACGACTTAGATGGAGGTGTTTTACTTTCCTAGCTGGACTTTGCTACATCGACCAGATCTCCCCGCTGCACATGAGGATTGTCAGTAATACAGTCCTCTAAACCTCCGATCACTCTTCTGGTTTCCAAAATGGTGTTTCCCGGAAAAAAGGGCCGTTTTATCACTATGGGGCGATTAGCACTGACACTATATGAGGAGTCCACATTATTGTATGACAAACGTTTTTCGAATATTAAGTATTAGCTCAAAATTGACATATTCGGCGACAAAAAGCTGCGGAATTCGCTGCATATCAGTTTAAGCGATGATTCTCAGTGCACAGTTCTCAGCTAATAGGAAGTCGTGAATACTGACCTTAGGAGTCTTATGACGACCCCAGTACGGATAATGATGAATCGTTCCTGTCGGTTTAACACATAATATCTATACCGGTGTGATCATCTCTGTAGGCAGCCTGCAGTATTTCCCGGAATATGTTGTGACAAAGTTGGGACATGTCACTGCAATCAAGATAAAGGCCTATGATATTGGTCCTTTGTCACTGACGCGTCTCATAATAGTACCAGGAAGTTGCGGGACACCCAAATGTAACGATTGCCTTCCAGAACTCATCTCATTTCACGCTGCCGAAGGCAATGGTGAGATTTGTGAAAGCGGTATAGAGTTCAATCCGTATTTTTGACATTTTCCCGCAGTTTTTGGGCTGCTAAGATCCAGTCCGTGTTCTCGCTTTTTTTCGGAACCGACGTCGGCTCTCTGGAAGAACACCTTGCCCATGGTATAAGCTGGAAAGACCGAATTTAACTTGAACGAACATCTTGTGGCCAGTACGAAGAAAGGGAGCTCCCGACCGATCGTTGCCACTTTGTTGACTTCCTATGTGTTTTCGCGGGCGAACAGCGTCCAAAGCCTTAAATACATGCAGGACTTACGGCTGGTGCTGTATCCTTTGAAAGTGTGAAGTAAGCTTGAGAATAGGTTTATAATTACCGTGCGTGTAGATGTTGACTGGAACTGAGTCAACACCTAGCGATTTTACGCCGGATATCTCCCACACTGTCCAGTTGTCTCCTGCGGAGAGAACAGGTTGTTAAAGACAGCGTTTGTTGGCTATGGAGAGAGCTTATTGATGGCTTCCTTGAAAACTGAATGTGGGCGGTCGGTTTCCCATGCATAGGCCTTCAGTCAAAGTCATGATGTAAACAGGATAAGAGGTGCCATCGACAATCTCTCGACTAAATGGTACATTCATAGTAACCCAACTGCGAAAAACTCAGCATCTCGGTGGGATTCGAACCCACGCAGTAAGGGGGAGGCTTTAGTGCAGCCAATATATGTGAATTACGTAAGCCTGGTAGTCATCTGGTGGATTCTGGGTGAATTACTTAGGAAATCCTGCCTGGGCAGTCAACTTACTGTATCAGACTTGGTGGATTCCAGACGTTGCAGTAGGTTGGGCTCAAGGTGGTCAACTTCTGCTTCAGTTTGTCTTCACGTGCATCAAAAATGCGTCTGGCACTGAGAGGAACGCTACGGTGAAGATCATTTGTCAGTGGTTCCCCAAGGATCCTTAGCACTTCGCTTGTTCATCGTCCATTTCTGCTTTGTACTTGCATAATCAAAGTTGACAATTCTGGATTAGAACCCGAATCATTCTCCGTCCGCGTTGCAAAACTGTTCGTTTACCTAGCTCGGTGTTGTCTGGCGATTTATACGAGAGGCATCTGGGCAGAGTGTTTGAGTCTATGCACCTGTGTAGGAAACTCAGGTGAGCGTAATATGAAGCTTGTCGACAGAAGAAGGATCCCCACCGACGCGTCCCCTTCTTTTTCTTGTATACTTGACCAGTAATTGTGAAGAACGCCTTGAGGCACAGTTCTAGGAACTCGATGACGTGCACTTGCTTAAGCTGTTGGTCGGTCTCGTCGTATTTTTCTCGGAGAAGGCCGTCGAGTGTCGATGGCCAGGCCGGGAGGGATAGAAGTCTCACTGTTCACTTCTATCCCATCCGACCTGGCCATCGACACCCTCGACGGCCTTCTCCGAGAAAAATACGACGAGACCGTCCAACAGCTTAGGCAAGTGCACTATATCGAGCTCCCAGAACAGTGTCTTAAGAGTTTCTTCATAGTTAATGGTCAAGTATACGAGCAAAAGAAGGGAACGCCAATGGGCTCACCTCTGTATGAGCTAACTGCCGAAGCAGTTTTGCAGAGGCTGGAGCGGAGAGTATTCAGCTCGTACCTTCCGAAGTTCTGGGCCAAGTATGTTGACGACACGTTCGTCATAATAAAAAGGAGCGACGCGCGAGGTTTCAAGGCGCTTTTAACATCAATCTTTTCTGACATTCAGTTCACTAGGGAAGAAGAGGTCGACAATGAATTGCCCTTCCCAGATGTACAAGTCACAAAACTGGCAGACGGGAATATAAAGACGACGGTCTACCATAAGGCGACTAGCATTAGGTGCATCCTCCAATTCAGACATCCCCTATAAACGCAAATATATTTTACGCAAGGTGTGCATAAAAGACTATTTCTTGTACTCATTTGGAGGCATATCGCGTCATCTTCAAATTTTATACCTGAGAAAATAGTTTTTTTCAGTTTTAAAAGGTTGCGATTGTAAGCTTCTTGGATCATGAAATGTCTGCTCACAGAGCATCATATCTGTTCGCTTATTAATGCCTCTTGGGGAGTATGAAACATGGCCTACACCAATTGCAAAATATTGCATGAGTCCTATATGGTATCTTCTTAATAGCTTAACTAAATATATGACTTCGCTTGCACTGAAAGAATGATATGAGATCTAGAAAATTTTTTAGGGAAACGGTATTGAGAAGAACCCCACTTTACTATCGGTAGACTGTGGATCGTGTCATACGTGGTTGGTGATAAGAGGAGTTTTACAGGCGGGGTAGCGCACTAAAGAGTAAGCAGACGAAATGCAGGAAAACACAGAAATTGTTTGGATTTCTCCCGAAAGACTCATCGTACGCTTTCGTACAACGGAAATGAGCGCGGTAGTTAAAAATAAGCAAAAAGTAAATTTCACAAAATAAAGGCGTTTGAGTGATGGTTTAAAGTGATGGTAAGTGATTGTTATTGGTAGTGTGATGTCTGCCAAAGCCGGCGAATGGATGCCAAGATAAAAACCCATATGACGTGATCCACAGTCTGCCGTCAGTTAAGTGGGGTCCTTCTTCATACCTTTGTCCATTTTAGAACTTAAAGATACCCCTTTTGAAGTATAAAATCTTAATAAGACGTAATTGGCAGCTAAATCATCAAAAATAAATATTTTTGAGTATATTTTCCACAAAATATGTCCGAATGTATAATGGCATCAAAACCCGACGTGAAATATTCATACCGCTCAAGTGACTATTTTTAACCAAGTGCAGTTTCTGCGGTCGACCGGAAATAAGTTTACTTCGAGGGGTGCACATTGACAAAATGGAAATATATTGGGATTTCTCTGGATGACAATCATTCTTATAACCTTTTCTAATTGTAAACATTTCTGCATTTTGGTTAACGTTTCACGAGATAGGCCAAGTACTGTATCAGTCGGAAGGCGATACGACAGAGGTTGCTGTTCGATCGATACATAACTGCTTCAGGTTTATTCTGTCCCCATTCAGTCAACCATAAACCTGATCATCGACAGGAACCAGAAACACAAACATGCACACGCACACAACCCAGGTAATCCATCACTTGGGTCTACCAGATGAGTCGTAAGCACTTAATCGAACCGAAGTTTATGAGTCTCCCCATCCGACG